AAACTGTCTGGTACGCTCCTCGGCATCTTACCACGTTTTGTCCCTTGTAAGAAACCACAGACGTTGGTGCTGCCCATCACACCCTTCTGCATATGACTCAGAAATTGGCTCGCCCCAAGCCAGTCATGCAAGAAACGATCAAAATGTTTGATGTGCAGCATGGGTCAAGTCTATCACTATCATAGGTCATGTCTTCCAACAGGGAAGCAAGATGATGGCTACAGATATCCTTGTCTACAACATAAGCGTCGTTGGCAGGATGTCAAAGCGGAACATAACCCACAACGCATGAAACATGGGCTGTCTTCACCAAAGCCTCGTTTTGATGCAAGACCCCGAAATCGGCTATCGTCAACCGAGCTCGACAGGCCGGGATCCCGGCCAACATCTCGAGTCGCTCCAGGCATCGGGGACGTCGGGGCCTCGGGAGCCACCATATCCACCGCGGCAGTTGCGACTACAGGTTAAACTCTCAAGGTGACATCCAGGGCTCTTCATGTTCCGTGCGATGATTTTCCGTGAAACCTTGATCGTTGTTAGAGTCGCAAGCAAGGGCTCGCTCGATCGATGAAACTTGGGATGCTCAAGGAATCAACTGCCAGTTGCGAGTCAAGGGAGGGGGGATTCGACTAACGAGATAGTGCCATCTCAGATCGATTTGAGCCAAAGCAACTAATGCATACTTTCGAGGTGACAAGTTTGATACCAGGGGTTTTCAGAGCCCGAAACTCCAATCACCAACTCTAAAATACCTTGAATCCCTACCAAGACCTAGGTATCCCTGCAAGTTTGGTCATTGCTTCTCCGGCAGCACAGACGTCAGCTGGGGCTGGTGCAAAGACACGAGAAATTATCAAAATTTAAGACTCGAGGGTAAGGCTGCACTTGAAACAGCAAGAGGTGTCCAAGCGTACAGAGTACATTGAAGCAGGCAAGCATCCGTGCATGTAGATCATCAAGGTTAAGCTCCCTGTCGAGATCCTTGAGCCTCTGATCAAGAGCCCGAGAGTATGTACCCTTGACTTCCTTGATATCTGGGTTTCAACCGGGTACTGAGCCCGCTGAGGTTATGATTCGTCGGGCCAGGATAAATCATGTTGGTGGAACACATCCGTGACCGTCAAGGCGCTTCATTCCGAATGTTTTGATCCTATGTTCAGGAGATGGGGCCTCTCCCTCTCCCAACAGGTCCTAAAATCCACTCAACTGCTAAGCGACAATCGTCAGTGGACAGCCTGGTTTATCTCTTTTTGAATGTTTGCATATTCAGCCGTGGATCCGATATGTCACCCTGTCTGATGCATTGCACCAACCAGAGACTTGACTGGTGACACAAGCCGCGGCGACTCACTACGGCTAGATTCAAGGAAGACTGGCTTGGCGACCAAGATATAACTCATCGCGAAGAACTCCCTTTTCCATAAAACTGGTGTGGAGAGGACTTTGCGCTTTGACAATCGAGGCCCACTTGTCGCCATGTCGTTGAGTTATATCCGTGTTTGTGTCACCCATGAGATGGGAATAAGCTGTTCATTAGCGTAACTGCCGAATAAAACGGCCGTTGCTAAATGTGAAAGTCAGGCCATGTACTGTACCCTGGATCGTGGATGCACTGAGGTGCTTAGACGTGATCCAAAATAAACGCCTCAAGGAAAACTACATCCGACAAAACTATGAGTGCCTGGCCTGGCCTGGCCTGGGTCTTCTGCTATCAAGGGCATTAAGCCTGATGCCGCCTGGCTACTTTTGGCTTGGCCATCTTCACTAATCGGACTATCTGAAAATGGCCCAGATCTGGATCTCGCCAGTTAATTGGACTCTTCAAATTGCCTAATAGAGACAGATCTGCTAAGGAGATCGCGAACAAAAAATAACCACTGGGATGAATGTGATTGACGGTGACATTTGCTACGAATAGCGAGATACAAGATACCGGTTAACGTGCTGGAGTTTGCATGCTGTCTAGCAACGGGGAAAACTGTTTCTTGGTGTGTGATTGCGTCAAGAAGACACTTCCGATACGTAAATATGTAGTAGTCTGCAGCGACTAAGAATCACATGCGAAAGTCGCAGCCACTTGCTATCGTATCTCTGTGATCAAGTACCGTACCCAAAGAGTCTCTGGGGTGGATTTCACGTAACGGTTTGTTGACAAGGGCTAGCCAGGTAGCGCAGATCAGTAGGTTTAACCATCTTTGGAGGGCAATCGGTGTTGCTATGTTGGAGTACTTTTGGCTAGAGTCAGAGCATTCCACTGTGCAAGCAACTTCCTTGCAAAACTGCCTTGGATTATCCATATTCGTAAAGAGTCGACGAGGATACTGCTTTGTTTATCCATTAGCCTGCGTGCGTAGTGTTGCCTGAGGATGGCTGAACCCGTACCCAAAACAGCGTCCAGGCTAAGAAGATGGTTGGTGATCAGATCACGCCTCTCATCGTCCTGTGGCGCGAGCTGCATGTGCATCTAACAGTGCAGCCTCTAGCCTCTCGCCAATAATCGATTTCCTGAGGGTGTGATGTCAAAGACATCGAGTCCACGCAAGAGATGACAGGTGCCATTTTACTACCAGGGCACGGTGGTTAGCACAACACTCACCAGTCCATCAAAACCTTGTCGAGGAGGGGTTGTCGTTGCGCCAATCCCCTGTCCGTAGAGACAGCCAGGAACCACCCTCTTCAGGAACGTCTCGAACTGTGGATGGCACAATGGGAGAGAATTTCGAGGTTCACACCCTGTCTGCCTCAAGCACGAGATCCGTGCGCACATCCAGAAGTGCAAGTCTTGTTGTCTCTCTCCACACTCTCGGGAATATCCCTCTGAGATAGCTCAACGCTCCTTAATAAACTAGGGTCTTGATCAATCCACAAAGCTTAGCTAGAAATTCATGGAAAGAGAGGACACGTTTCTCTAGCAGATGCAAGCTGACTGGACACAGCTGTGGAGATGCAATGGTCGGAACCCTTGGGATGGCAGCATGGTAAGAAATCGCTTATGTCTGCAGAAGAGGCTACGAAGAAAAGCCCCCTCACCTGAAGAATTCGTCACAATATTATCCTTATGATGAACGGTTTACGGGCTCCCTACCTTGAGGAGTTCTCCCGGCCGGGAAACTCGGACCCACCAGGTAATCCATACCAGCCCTACGGAGAATAACCGTGCGGTGGGATGTTGCAATAACGATACGTATGATCTTGGCTTTGAACCAGTTCCAGTCCGGTCCCCTGGAACTATTGCTAGGTGCAATCCAGGGTCGGTTTCATGTCCAGAACAGCCACATAGCGTGGATGCCACGGGGTGTTGTTGTGCACAGGCAGATGGGCTTGCGAACTTTGTCTTCTCCAAGAGTTGCAGACTACTACTGTAGGTTTAACTAAACCGTTGTCGATTGCCTCTCCGATGCATTGCGGATCATTTCCCCGTCAACTCAGCCTGGCTTGACGTTGCATCCTGGAGCGGGGTTGGGGAGCAGGAGCTTATGCCCGACAGTGGCAGAGCCAATATCTGTAGCGCAGTATTCGTAGCTGATGGAGGGATCGCTGAAGCGGCATCACATAGCCGTATCCTCCAGTGTACAGTTCGCTCGATGGTGGTTGCTGGCCAAGCTAAGGAAATTGATGCTCTTGGCTTAGTTTCCCATGATTAGCTGAGACTAAAGTGTAATTAGCGGCTCTTCAACCTTGGGTTGCCAGTCAACTCTCTCCGTCGGCGCCCTCCGATCACAGTTTGTGATGTTCTGAAGAAAGATTTCTCTCCACTTGCGGAGCAAAACAACATCCATCCTAGGATGGAAATCTTTGCGGGCGCCTGTCGATCCGGGAATACGAAGTGGGCTTTGAGCCAGGAGCCCGGTTAGCCTATTATGAATGCTTCATCTCAGTGTAAAGTACTTACCGCGAAGGTCTGGTATTGCATACACAGTATCGAACAATAGCGCAGGAAACAGAGACTGCAGAGCTGCGCCTTAGCAAACCAAGGCAAAAGCAGACCAATTTCCGAGGAGAACTTCGTTCATTCAATGGGAAAAGCTTGATGATGTTGCACTCGCTTACTTCGTAAAATATGGGTGTGGTCAGCCCATCTTAACTTGTGGCTACCTGAAATGCAAGAGCCACCAGAAAACGAATGAGTTGCCTCTTGATCGCATTCACTCGTTTCTTCTCGAGACCTGGCATCTTTCTCTTGACTGTTCCATTCCTGTATGTAAAGTCCTGCCCAGTGTCCGAGCTTCAAAGGCTCATAAGGCGTGCGTGCGTTGTTGTCTGCCAGGAATCTGTTGGCCAAATGGAGAGAGACATGCAAGGCTTTGTCGATAAAGTGAAACGGGGGTCGAGGAGCTGTAGCAGAGGTTCAACGGTCACACGGTTTCCAGGAACTCGGCAAACCTTGAATACTGTGGCTCACTGAGGACACAAGGTCTCGACTCAAGAGCGCCAAAAGCGCCAAAAGCGCCACCAACGATCAACCTTGATCCTCGTTATGCATGCACCTTGCTGCTAGGCGGACGGTGGCGCCAGTACCGTAATGAACTGCCCAAACACATTCATGATCAATTGGGAAGCGAGCTTATCGAAATTCAGGATCACTAGCCACCCATGAAATCTGGCATCGAGGCTCCAATGCACGAAGCAGTCAGTTATCAGGATCGGCAGTACTGAGTACAGCCCTTGCAGATATGCCCAAGCAACGTCAGTTGCATCAGGGACCAAATTGTGCTGTCGACTGGTATCTAATCGTTTATACACCCGCACCTGGTGGACATTCAGCTGTAATGCTATCTTCGACCCCATCAGCTTGACGATACCAACCCCGCAGATGCTTCATCAAGTCTCACATCAATCATTGCACGTAACTGAGCCACAGGCTTATTTTGCGCCATGCCGAACATGTCTTAACTTACCTTCAATCTGATGCTTTAGTTCATCGCTGCCGTCGGAAAGCTTATTGATCATCTCACCCACTGGTTCGTTGCTCAGGATGAGCTAAGAAGATCTGTTCATATCCTGCTAGTATTGAAGTTCCTGATCAGTTTGGCCTGAGCTTAGTCCCTTGTCTAGCCCCAAAGTTCGCCCATCTCGGATGCAGGAAGACATGGGCCGGGCCTGGGGTCCATGTAGCTTGCCAAGGATCAAGCTTTCTTTCCGATGTAGTGTTGCTTTCGTTCGTGAGTCTTCGGCCGAGTTGTCGTGACCTAACATCCAGGCCGCTTGGGCTCGGCCGCTGTCGGCTTGCTATGCAATGCGAACATCCTTCGACTATCGCCATGAAAGTATTGCATAAGCAGCGATCGTCTTTTAGGCTTGTTGGCGTGAATGAGTCTAGATCAATCATACTCGGCAATTGGCTTACGACGCTGGGCCAGCCGCTTCTTTAAACAGATGTTAGAACAACCCTCGGAATTCACCGTTTCCTCTCAGTTTGATAAGTGCCACACCAGCTGGAGAATAGGTATTGCCACATCAAGACTTGAACCTTTGATGTTTTCCCTTTCAATTTGAAATGGGTTTACCAGGTCCAGAATATGCAGATAATGTGGCTTCTGATGGTGGCCGAAACTATTGAGACCTGGCCAAGTGTCGTCTGAAGGAAATACTAGCATCTCTTCCAGGAGTATGGGAATTTAAACGCCACCGTGCCTGCTTCCAGGTACAACGGTTTGCAGACTTCCGTACTTAGTTCGAAGCCCATTCAATTCCGGACGAAATGCGACGGATGACAAGAGTCTTAGGCACATCACAACATGTGTCCCCCGTTAGCCATGAGACTTGATTGATGTGTTATTACGCGAGGGCGTCCAAGTCAATGCACATTCTCCAGACCTGTAGGAAGCTGTTGCAGACTCGGCATCTCTGAGGAGACATGGACTAAGAGTACCATCCGAGAGGAGTCCGGACCAATAAGATGGAAGGCATCTGAGGGCTTGAGGGGCTTGTTGTTGGCCCTAGCATGCCGCAGCAGCAATGGAAGGCGTTGTCTAAAGCTCTTCCACTTTGATCGAAAGTCTATTTTCCCCTCACGGCCTTGCCTGGATTATGCCGTCCTCTGCTTGAGCACTAATCAGGTGTGCTGGTATAATGTGGCTGCACTGGGGTGAGAGCTGCCGTGCATATTTGATGGACCTGGTTCCCTGGAGGAGTGTTGAGTACAACGTACTGTTTCGTAAGACCTAGAGTAAAGACGTTCGGATTATACCTATCATATATTGAGTGAACACCCCCCCGTCCTTCAGTCGCCATTCCCTTATTCCCCTCCTCTTTGATCTCTTTATGTCAATTCGGAAAACAAAGTATTGTTCTTTGCCTTGCTGTATCAGCAGCTAAATCCAATTGACCAAAGACTGACCAACCATTCAACTCTTATTTCGACCTTTGACGTTTCCGTCTCAACTCTGCCGAGCAGCCCGATATAAGAATCAACTGCAATCTGTTCGACCGGACAGACTACAAGACTCCAATGGCTGCCTTTGTACACTCTTATCCTCACCATATGGAACCTCCATTTGGAAATCCCATGAACATTATGACCGCAACCCCATCACCAGGATATATCATGACCCCTTCTCCATATTGTACTAGAACACCATCGCCCACATGTCGAGGAAACATGGGATACCAGCCTGTCCCTGCACAAGTTCAAGACCCTTCCTTCTTTGAAGAGGCCATAGGTGGTTCTCCTCGCCCACAAGAACTGGCACTTGGCTTTATGCAAGCACCATTCCAGTATAACCCAGCATCCAATGCACCCAATGGCCCTTTTCCTTCTTTGGCTACATTGCCAAGTAGCGAGATCGAGCAAAAGCCTGCCCGTCGGGCTCGAAATCGAAAACCGTCCCAGTTAAGCATCATCACCCCCAAAGAAGATAGTGGCCCCAGAGCTGTGCCCAGTTCCCCAAAGCAGAAGAAGCGCGGCCGCAAGCCCAAAGGAGGAGCCAAGGAGTCGGGGAAGTTTCATCAGGAGATTGAGCTTGATGAGGACGACCTTCCTAAGGACCCTCGACGTCGACGTATTCTTGAACGCAACAGGATAGCCGCGACCAAGTGTCGTCTTCGGAAACGAGACGAAGCATCTGCCCTTGCTTCCCAGGAACAAGCCATGGAAGACCAGAACCGATATCTTTCCTCATGCTTTGACTCATTGACAGCTGAGATATATCACCTGAAAACGCAATTGCTGCAACACACAGACTGCAACTGTGTACTGATTCAGAAATATATCGCCAATGAAGCCAAGAAGACAGTTGATGGCCTGCTTTCTTGTTCATCGGCCTTCCAGCCCGACAATGACCCCATGAGCCCATATCGTCGAGGTTCATGCCATAGCGGCACCAGCCCCACTGAATCCCTGGGTGTGCCTACTCCGGAGTTTGAAGGAGTCTCGCCAGCCTGGTCACAGCCTTTCCAAACAGGTCATGCCTCATCATCAGAGGTTGGAGAGGAAATCTTCGAGATGCCAATGAACCCTTACAACAAAGGGTCAATCCAGCTGCATAGTCAACCGCTCACCAGCATGACACCACTTCATCATCCCGAATCCGAGGTATATGTCGGTATGGGACCTCCACCCCAGCATGTGGATGTTATCAGTTGGAATCCTTCATGGGGATTTTAGTAACGAGGCTATGATCCTGTACCGCCGCGTTGGGCATTACGATCTTGTAGCTTGATTGAGATTTTCGAAAGCGGACTGAGGCAAAAGCTATTTTGTATATACGAGCATGGGTGAAGGCGTTTTTGGCTTGAGAGTGACATGTTGTGAGCGTTCTGTATCAAGGGAGGTTAGCCAATATGTTTTTATATTATCCAGCAATCCAGAAGTTAAGATCAACTGGTTTCTCATCGAAATGCAAAGAGGGGTGAGCTCTTACTTAACAGCCGAACCAGCTGGCCGTGATCTGCTTGTCGTGCTTATCCTCTTATGTTTTCAAAGCTCAATGGCCCGAGGCACTCATCCTCCTTCAGTGTACACCGTCGTAGTATATCCATTGCTTGCTGAACTCATGGTAAATGAGGCAATGGCTATTAGGTGATGCAGACGTGTCCCACTAAGTTCCGAGCTTCATTGGAGTTTTCACAGATTAGAGCGTTGTGAGCGTGTCAAATGCCTAAATACGAGGTGGATCGCTGTTGTTCCAGATCGAAGAGTGTGGGGTGATCCCAGATCTCATGTTTCCCCTGCAGCTAATCGAACGTCTGCATTAGAGCATGCCGAATGTGGTGATGGCATCGGAGTGACCCACTAGGTTGATGGGCCAAATTCTCAATCGCCACCTTGAACCTGCACGTAATTGTATTGAATGAGGAGATTCATGTCAATATCGTTGGAGAGCAGGGCTGAGGATAATGGGCTGATGGAAAATGCTCAACGCCAAGCTTAACTAAGTCGGATGAATACAAAATGAATTCCATGTCCACCCAATTTCTACCACTGGGGTGCCTGAAATGACGAACAGACTTTTAGTGATCAGTGTTGTCTGCATGTAGTCGCAGAACAGATGGTTGCAGTGTTGTGAATTCAGATCCATCTGTTTTGATTTGGTCCGGCTCGACACAGACAAAGCATGGTACGATACTTGAGGTCTCGCAGTGCAATCGCATAGCTCCGGAGAAAGCTAAGATGTTGCGGCAGTGATACGGCTAGACAAGAAAGTGCGCAACGCTCTGAGCCCGGGTCCGGCGGTATGAATTGGCAGGAGGTTATAGAGAAATCCGCAGACACATGACCAAGTTGTTGTAGTGCATCTTGAGCCTGGGTTGAGCCTCAGCTAGGACTGGGGCTGTAGCAGGGGGGCAATGCGGGTTGTTGGAGATCTCCCCAGCGGTCGGTAATTCAGCGGTGACAGCATCACGTTCCCTTGTAACATCGCTGCTGACCGTAAACCAGGGGTTCCATTCCGCGAGGCGATCCCAAGTCGTTGAAGACTGGCTATACACCAATCAGCCTTTGCAAGGCGCACGAGCCGGTGAAGATGGCCAGACTGGAGTGGGTATGGCCCATAAGGATAGCTTCGTAACGACTAATGTACCCTTGTCGCAAGTTAAGGAAGTATGCCCCTTTGAGAAGTTGAGCCACATCGAATTTTGCCCTGAATATATTTCAAGCTGGACGATTCTGCAAACGCTAGGATTCCTTCTTTCAAACTCTTTACCTGCAAGTCGGCATTCGAAAAGCTTCTCAGTTCCGCGAAAAATCGAATTGGAGTTGCCCTCGACTTCCCAAATTTAGCAGACACTCTGACAGGCATCATCATATAAGGTATTCATTACCTCACGGCGTGAAAATTCCTCGACGCCTCAGCAATAAACATCCACTGGGCCTCTTCAACAAATATCGAGGCACCAGTGCTGTTAGATGCCGCTCTGAAGTTTCTCTTGAGGCCGGGCTTCAATAACAAGCGCATCAGTCGGGGGAGGTTTTAGGCGAAGTAAAAATCGTCAAGCTCGTCAGAGCAAAGCGCCTATCATCCACATCCCCTTGTCGAAAGCAGACATCACCATTGTGTCCTCGTGACTCAATTGATTGCAAGGAAAGCATTGGAAATACATGCCTCATCGTACGTTGTCACCGAAAGAATTGGTCGGATTTCGCTTCAGATTTACCGACGATTGAATGAGCGCGTGAGGAAGAAGACTTTTTCACCGCTGACGACTACCTCACCTCACCTGAGGTTAAAGTGTCTTGTACTACCCGAGCCACAGACGGGACGGAACAGGCCAACCTGGAATATCCGACCGCGCATCGCACCTTCCCGCATACCAGACAGACCAAGACATTTTGGTAATCGCAAGCAGCTGACTTGCCTAATTGATTGTACCTTGTTCAGGTAACTCGAGGAAGGAAAGAAGCAGCCCAGTGCGAACGCAAACGCGCAGGAGAGATCCCGTTTGTTACGTCCCACCGCATTTTTGTGATACTCAACTCTTGGCCTTAAACTGAACTTCTGCATCCTCAAATTCTCCTTCAACGCCGGTTCCCGCTATCAGTATTACACCACGGTTACGACCGGTGAGTGCAATCTTTGCTACGGCGGATCGAGAGGTTACCCTTTTCCCCATTTCTTGTCATTCGCTTTCCCCCCAAGGGTACTTCATACACTCTTTCTTGGCCGCTTCCTGCATACCTTATCTTGCTCTCAAGTTGCCAGCTTCGCCACTTAATTGGAATCCCGCTCATTGTTTCAGTCGACTTTATCTGGAATCTTCAGAGCTTCATCTTCCTGATCGATGCAGATGCTCGATCCAAACTTAGCCACTATGGCGGCCAACTCACCCGCGGAAACCGCCTTGGTGATCCTGTACTACTTGTACCCAGCTATCGTTTTCATCTACTTTTTCTTCGCCTCACTCGTTTCGGCCTGTACAGTACACTCTCCTGACAAAGATGAGCGAAAGAAGAAATGTCCCAACCGACGGTTGACACTCGTCTTCTACCTCTTGTGCATCCTGACATACACTACCCAGTTGTTGCTGCTTGGGGCTCGGGCGGTCCTCTCACAGAACTGGGCCAACAGAAGATCACATCATCATTGGACATCTGGCTTGCATTCTGGCGTTCGGGATCCAACTCAGTCGCTGCCTCGACACTGAAGAGGGCCCCTTCTATCCTTTCATCGGGTCTTGGTCGCTTGGCCTGTCTTTTGATATTGCAATCACTGTACTGTCTGCTATTTCGGGATTGTTCTCCCCATTCGATATCTTCAGCATCCTTGCAAGCGTTAGCATCAGCATTCGTTGCCTGTCTTTCATATCACTCGCTAGTTTGTTCGCTGCTGGCTTTTCTGTAAAATTGAAATCCGATGAAGAGCAGGAACCATTGTTACCCAAAGTTACAACTACATCACCTGATAGTCCGACTAGTCGGGAATCTGGATATGGATCGACACTCCAGGCCGAGGAAGAAGAAGAAGAAGAAGAAGAGGCTCCGGAGTATAGTTGGGAACGCCGAGAGAGAGAGGCCAAAGAGGCTATGAAGAAGAGGCTCGAGGAAGGTGGGAACTGGTTTGAGTACGCCAAAGGCTTCAAGGTAAGTGAAGAATACTTGCACATATTCACCAACTGAGCTCCCAACTAATACCACTGCTTGTAACTGTGTAAGGGTCATTGCGCTGACTCATGACAAGATTCTTTTTCCATACGTCTGGCCTGTCGGTAATATTGGCCTGCAACTTCGTGCTGCGGCCGTGTGCCTATGCCTGTTCGCATCCAATGCTCTTCACCTACTCATCCCTCGCCAGACAGGCATTATCATGGACAGCCTGAATGGTTTCGGTAACAGCAATCCGTGGGTTTCGGTTCTTGTATTTGCTGCCCTCCGCTTAGCTGCTTCTGAGTCGGGTATCGAGCTTGTGCGTCAATGGCTCTGGGTTCCTGTTAAGTACTATTCCCACGACGCATTGACACGAGCAGCCTACTCGCACATGATGCATCTTTCAGCAGATTTCCACGACTCAAAAAGCTCATCAGATATGATGATGGCGATCTATGGGGGCAGTGCGGTTTCCAATGTTATTGAGAATGTCTTGCTCTATGCTGTGCCCATGCTCATTGATATGGGGGTGGCTATTGTCTACCTTTCTATCACCTTTGGCCCCTACGAAGGACTTATTACCGTGGCTACCGGTGTCTTCTTCCTTCTTATTGCCAGCAAACTTGTTGCTAACTCCAAAACTGCAAGCCGCAATCGTGTCAATGCACTATATGAAGAACACTATGTGCGCCAGTCTGGCTTCCTTGGGTGGCAGACAGTTAGCGCATTCAATCAGATCGGTTACGAAGACAATCGACACGCCAATGCAGTCACAAATCGTTGGCTTAGAGAGCAGCAATATGTGCTTGGGTGGTATATCTCAATCGGATTTCAAACCCTGGTCCTGACATCTGGTCTTCTCGCGAGCGCATTTCTGGCAGTATACCGTATCAGAGCAGGTCACGCAACATCTGGACAATTTGCAATGCTTTTGATGTATTGGGCGCAATTGACATCACCGCTTCAGTTCTTTGCGAAGTTGGGAAAGAACGTCAGCGATGATTTCATCGATGCCGAGCGCCTGCTGGACATCATGAGAACTCAGCCATCAGTTGAAAATCAGAAGGGAGCTAGACCGTTGAAGTTCGTAGCTGGGGAGGTCGATTTTGAACGAGTTTCTTTCAGTTATGACAAGAAGAAGGGCATCATCAAGAATGTCAGCTTCCATGTTCCTGCTGGCCAGACAGTCGCTTTCGTAGGCGCCACAGGAGCAGGAAAATCTACACTCATCAAACTCCTTGATCGGTTTTACGATGTGGGCGATGGCCGTATTTGCATCGATGGTCAAGACATACGAGATGTTGATCTGTTCAGGTAAGACCTTATCCTAACTAATGGTCACTTAACACTTAGCACTAACACAACTAACTAGTCTTCGCGATCGAATTGGAGTCGTTCCTCAGAATCCAATTCTGTTTGACGACACGATTATGAACAATGTACGATATGGAAGGATAACCGCGACCGATGAGGAAGTGTTTGAAGCATGTCAAGCCGCTTGCATTCATGATAAGATCAAAGGCTTCACCCATGGTATGGGAACAGCTCTGAGTTACCTATCAAACAATTGCTAACTTTAACAGGATACAAGACACGGGTTGGAGAGCGCGGCGTGTAAGCGAACCTTGGATATTACTATAGAATTCTACGCTGACTTATGTAGGAAACTGTCTGGCGGTGAGCTTCAGCGAATTGCAATTGCTCGAGCAATGTTGAAGAAGCCGGACATTGTTCTGCTCGATGAAGCCACCAGTGCGGTTGACACGGATACAGAACAACAGATTCAGATATCTTTCAAGAGGCTGTGCCAGGGCCGAACCACGTTCATCGTCGCGTAAGTTTATCGCATGTCAGTGTCTTTCAGATTATGCTAATTCACAAAGCCACCGTCTTTCAACGATTATGAACGCAGACCGGATTATTGTAGTTGAAAATGGCGAGATACTTGAGCAGGGGAACCATGACGAATTAATCGTGGCTGGTGGGAGATACGCCGATCTCTGGTCAAAGCAGGTCTTTGTGCGAACCAAGGAGGAAGACGCTGATGTCTCGGCTGGCCAAGCAGGATTTGTTAACGACCTATCCTCAGAGCAGACCAGAACCGAACTATCAAAAGTCAACAAGCCGACAACAGCAACCAACGAACAACCGAAGTCATCTGAAGCCAGAGCCAGCGCAGAGGATGATACCGTTACCCAAGGTCGCAAGCAAGAGGTAGTTTCAGCCGAAGATAAATAGTCTTTGGTGATTCTAACCTTTACTTGCAGGGAACCCGGTTGAATCCAGTTGCCGCTACATTTACTCCTCGCAGGTTGGCCAAGATCAGGAAATCCATGGAGACTAGGACTTCTGAGGCATCGACCAGCTCTGCCGCTCAAGACGGACTGATAAATGTAAGCTCACAAACGAGCCGACAGTGGTCTGACGAGGTTGCCGAACAAGATGAGAAGACTTTGAAGACGACAGCCGTGACTGGCCGGCCATAGGAGGGTCGAACCATTACGAGTAGCGGCGACACTACAACGCCAGCTACGGACTCCAGCGAGAGAAGGAGAGCATTTATTGCAGCCGTTGGCCGTGCTCTGAAAAAAAAACAAGCGAAACAATTTGACGAAGCAAAAGCCTTGGAGCGTAAGCACAATGTACCAAGTTCCTGTACTCTACTGACTCTTCTAGCTTTGGTCAAAGATGGAGATGAAGCTGAAGGGGAGACGAAGAAACGAGACGTGGCAGAGAGTCAGACTTTTGAATATAAGCTGCCGTACTATTCTCGTCGTGCCCAGTCGAAGAGCGAACCATCTCAAGCATCTCAGGGCTCCGATGGAGCCGACGTGGACAATGAGCTCCTCCTGTCGTCGACAGGGAAGCAGATGTCTCCAGTAAGTGACAAGTAAATATGTTATGGTCATTGTATCTGATATAAGAAGCATCGTCGAGTTACACTGCCTCCTATGAAGACGAGTACAGGATCCCAAATTCCTGTTGCCACCGAGCACAACCAAGCGCTTTCTTCAGCTTCCCGGGCGGTGAAGGTTCAAGATAGCACCATCGATCGATGCTCCGACAAACAAAGCGCTGAACAAAAAGCGCAACCTACCATGCCAGGTAGAAGCGCGACATGCTTATCATCAAATTATACAGATCCACAAGGCGAAGATGGTGTGACTGCGGGAACAAACACCACTGACGGTGTCAAGCACGGCAGCAATGAAATCTCGGAACCCAGAGAGAACCCCATCAGTTCCACCCCACGTCGTCGTGGTCGCGGTGGTCGACGAGGACGACCCCCTTGGTACCGTGGCCGACGTGGCAGAGGAAGCTATCGAGGAAGCCCACAGGGCAGACAAGCAGCATGAAGCGCGCTGCCACATTTATAATGTCGCGTTATAGAAATAATCATGACATGACAAATCCATGACAGAGGTACAAAGGAGAACAATGAGCCAGAAGAGGAGGTTCATGTACCAGCATTACGAGTCCATGACTACCCACGAAGTAACAGCAATGCTTTGAGAGAGTGGTATTCAGTTAGTTAAGTGTTGCCTCAAGATAGACATAGATAAGGCGTTTATGCCATCAACTACATATCTCAGACTTACTCTCCGTTAGCCAAATAAAGTGACGAGGAGGGGTTCAATGACTGGCATGAGAATATATAAAGCACCTAGAGAATGGTTAAGATCCTGCAAAATCGCAAGTCCACCAGCGTTCGAGGTTGTTGATTATCAATATATCCATACGACTACCTAGGTGAAGTTAAAGTGATAAATCGGGCGCATATATGGAGGCACGAACACGACTCTGGCGTTCCGAAGGTATCAAAACGTCTAACTTTATTTTCTCATTAGAAAGCTATTTTGAGCCCTTTCTATTTATATATGCATAGGTGTATATGGATCAATGGAGTTCTCATTTCTCGGGCTCAAGCCATAGTTCCATTGGTAGGCGACCGAGAAATCGTATTAACTCAGCTACCACATTTTCAACTCTCCCAAATATATACCTGGCGTCACCCCGCAAACTCACCCCATCGCATATCTTTTGAGCTACATGATTAAATCAGTACGATCATCTTGAATCAATACTACTACTCACAAGATTCCAGATCCTCGGCCAGGTGCCCAAGCTGTGACAGAATTGTCGATCTAGTATAATCCTGGCTACGAAGCTTGTAGTCCAAAGATATCGTAGATGTTGGATGGCGATTCGCTCCGTTACTTATACCCCATCTATAAAAGTCTTGACGGGCTTTGAGGCATCTTCTCGCGAAGGCAAGGACTGTTTGACTGTAGCGGGTTGATGTCTTATCCCACTTTCAACTGCATCGAAATGGGCGATACATTCGGAGAAGAGATTATAGATATCGGGGGTATTCGTGTTCAAGGCCATTGTCACGGTAATTTATAATGTGCTGTGAAATTGGTCAAGTCGTGCAAAAGAAGGAGAGTATACTTTACCCCTGAGATTTGGCCCGTTTTAAAGGCACAGAATGAAAGTAAAGCGGCATTGCTGCTGGTGATGTTGTTGTTGGTCACTGTCGAGTACAGTAGGGCGAGAAAAGCTTTGTCATGGTGTTACCATTTGTGTGACCCCGTCAATGAGGTTTGTGGTGATTATGGAGACTCGGTATAAGTTAATGGCCTACGATCGTTACTCTCATTAAAGCGAGGGGGCCTAAGAGGGAGCAGAGGAAGAGGCACGACAGCAATCCAATGAATTAGATACAACTATTTGGGACCGAATACAGTTGGCCTGGCTGAGTGGTTCTTCACTCCTACTCTCATCTCAGGATAAGGCATTGTCACGGAGGTGATAAAGAAAAGCAACCTCAGTTGAAGAGGGGTGAAGTTTGGGCAGGACTGTTTCTAGTATTGACTGGTACTCGGTATCATGAGAAGTTCGAGGCTCTTGTAAGAACACATCGGTGTCTCGATTAAGCTGCTGTGCCAATGATGGTGCGTATCACAAACTCACCTCGTAATCACTGATAGCTTACCGAGGGGAAGCAAGACAAGGGAACCCTTCTCCAAGAGGTTCAACTGGCTATGAGTCACCTCTGAGCAGCTTATATATAAATGAAACATTTAATGATACGATGATGAGACTTGGCATGGGTTTAAGCTTATTACACTCATCATGGAAACGTCCTCCACCACCTGAGAACTAGAGGAGTAACTCACACCGAAGCCGCAACACAATGAATGACCCTATCAGTAGTCTTAGCAACGCAACCTCATGCAAAAGTTGCCATATCCTTTCCCCCAGAAGACTCGGCGACTCCACAAGTTCCGGTCCCGCAACGCCACTGACCATGTTCTCACCGACAATGAGAGCATCTTTCGCTTAAGCCATAAATCGCATGTAATATGAGATCTTATCAAGTGCCCCTCCATCGGTACCCAGTTCCGATCCGGTCGAGGAGGTCCGTAGGGCGTGGTTTCGACGCTAGAAACTGCCATGAGCGGAGTCCAGATGCAGTCTATTTTCCTAATTAGTTGCTAGTTTAGTCTTGTTTGTTTTGTGTAAGTGACTGGTAAAAGAGAGAAAAGATTTAACGTGGCGGGACCACTTCCGTATAATTCTTATATGCATGCTACATCTGACACTCTTCACTTTTTGATAAGGCAAAGGAAATTGAATTTTATTCAAGATGAAAGTCATGGTTGATTCAACACAACAGGAGCCAAATGTTCAACGGAATAGTTCTCAAGAGAATACCAACTGGGCGGCATTCGGTCTTGATCCCATCACAGCCACAGTGTCGAACATCAACCCAGACGCTGAAGCACAACCTGACGCAGACTCGAGACAAGATGTCGAAAAGACAGTCAGTGCATGGATCTGCGTCCTTGGATCTTTTCTAACTTTGATACCTACATTCGGTAAGTCGGCCACTCCAACAGTAGAACAATGACTGACTTAGGAAAAGGCTTCATGAACTCGTTGGGTACAGTCCAAACATATCTAAGCATGAACCAACTCCACGACTACAGCGAAGGCGAAGTTGGATGGATCAGCGGCCTATTTCTCTTCCTCTCGCTCATTCTGAACGTCCAAGTCGGTCCGATGGTCGATGTCCATGGGCCCAATGTCATCGGTCCTGTTGGAGCAGTTCTTTATGTGGCCATGTTTCTCCTCATGGCCGAATGTCGCAACTACTGGCACTTCATGCTCTGCCTGGGAGTATTCGGGAGTATCGGCGCTGCTATGACAATGGTTGTAGCCATCGCCATCGTGGGAAAGCTGTTTGTCCGCAAGCGAGGTCTCGCGATGGGTATTACACTTGCAGGATCGTCCATCGGCGCTGTCATATTCCCTATCATTCTACGGTCAACGTATCCCAATCTCGGCTGGCAATGGTCAATGCGAATCATGGCGTTTATATCAGCAGGTCTTCTCCTCCCCGCCATTCTCTGCTTCACCGCCTTCAACAAGATCTACAAATCATCAACAAATGGCCAACCCACCCCCAAGAGCTCAACACTCAACTTCACTGCCTTTCAATCACCCGCATTCTGTTTTGTTACAGCCGGTATCTTCATGTTTGAGTTTGTCATCTTCAGTATCTCGGGTCTTCTACCGTCCATTTCTACTCGGGTCGGCTTCACTGCCGAGAATGGATATACTCTTCTTTCTATTGTTGGGGCGGCGAGCACATTCGGCCGAATCATTCCCGGAGTCATTGGCGACAAGTATGGGCACTTCAATGTTCTACTTGCTACTTTGGTGTTTACTGTCATCTTTATGGGGGCTCTGCTTGTTCCGTTTGGTACCAGGTCAGCCACTGCTCTGTACGCCTGGTCTGCTATCTGGGGATTTGGGTCTGGGTCTTTTCTCTCCATTACTCCAGGTAGGTACCTTAAGCATCATTGATATATGAACAGGCTAATGAATAAAAGTCTGTATGGGCAAAACATGTGAAGCCAAGGACTATGGTCGATATTATGGCGAGTCTACCCTCTTATAGTCAACTTCGACTGTAGCTAACCACTGCTCCAGGCATGATGAACTTTGTCACCGCCTTCGCACTGCTCATCGCTCTCCCTACAAGTGGTGCCATGCTCGAGAACATGGGCCCTCAAGCTCTGGCTGGTCTCTTCACTGGCATGACTGCTGTTGGAGGAGCTTGCTACTTTGCAGCCCGAGCTCTTCTCATTGGGAGGTGGCTGTCTCCCAAGACTATCATTTAATTTCAAAGAGTACCTGAATACGTCTCATTATTTGCAAATCTGAACTTGACTAAATTGGGTGTGGTTGGTCTCTTTTATGGGAGTTTGGGTTATGACATATGGAGATTGGAAAATATACCTAATCCGGCGCTGGATGAGATAAAGGAAAATGGGTATTAAGGAGTTTCAAGATTGTACTGAGTTATTACTTTACTCTAATAGTAATATGATCCCATAATCACCGAACAATGCAAGAGCCTTTCAGCACATAAAGAGGAGCAGCGTATCATATCATCACCGCCCCTTGTCGTCTCTCCTCATGGCAAACCCTTTCTCAATCAACCTCACCATCAATCCATTCGTCAGTGGGATCTCCCTCTCCCCCATCTTCTGCCCCTTAACCTCGTCCTCCGTCGCCCAAACATAATCCTGATGCTCCTTCGGATCCAGCTTGACCTCAGCTGTATCCTCAACATCAACCTCAAAGCTAAACTTGCAAAAGAACCTCTTCCCCGTTCTATTCGTAAAAACAGCTCCAGGTTTTCCATTTGGCCCATCAGGAATAACACGTCGAATGTGTCGCAGTCTCAGACCTGCCTCCTCCCAAAGCTCACGCACACAACCGTACAGAACAGTTTCGTCTTCGTCGTCACAAGCACCGCCTGGAATCTCCCATTTGTTAGGCATACTATCGTCTGGTGCTCTTTGGAGAAGGAGAATGCGGTTGGAGGTGTCGAAGACGAGGGCGCCGGTTGCGAGCGAGTCCCATGTTTTGTCGTGAGTTTTCAGCCACTCGCGGTGATTGACGTTCCATTCTGCGACAGACTCGTCGAAAGTGAAGTTTAACTCTGGGGGGGAGAGTTTCGTTTCTGGTTTGTCCGTCATTTTGTGTTGCTGTGTGTGAAGTTGAAGTTGAAGTTGAAGAGATGAGAATAAGATGATGCTGCGACTGAGAAATGCCCCGGTATTGGACCTGCTTGTTGACGCTAATGCCTCACCTCACTCACTCACTCATAAACAAGCTATCGCCATAATGTTTCATGTCTGCCTAATATCCATACCCAGGCAACAATAAAAGTCAAGTGGCTCATTTCAATTTTCCAGTTCGCAAGACAATCTCTTACACGAGTGTTTATGTGATAATTTGTTTTAAAAGGCCAGGCTAGCCTCTCATCTCATATCACTTACTCGCTCACTCAAACCAAGACACAGACAATCCAATCATACACACTTTTTATTTTACTCTAACATCTCGAGGCTACAGAGCCAACTGGGTAAGGTACATGAGAGGCAGCCATCCGTAGGTACATGTACGAGTCCTGCGATCAAACCCGTTGAGACATCCACTTTTCCCAGCATGTACTTCTTATCGCTATTGCCTCCCTCCCCAGAGCTTCCAGCACATTCCGTGAACCTCGCCCTCGGGTGACATTCTCCTTGTTGAAGTTTGAATGTTGTTATGACGCGTGTGTGTGAGCCGACAACGATCGCTGCGTGTCCTTTCAATCACCAGTCCTTCCAGCGACTTCATGTCCATGTGCGACCACGGCACTACCATGTGCAATTCGTGCCAATCCCTACCAATCCTTCACGATAAAGCAAGCAAAGCTTATAATACGCAAGCTTCCAATACCAACTGTGGCGATATCGGAGCTGCTGACAAGACAGCCACCAAACGCCCCTGACGCTAAACTGACAGATCATACGAATAACAAAGCCCAGAAACAAAATTTTGCAAGTAGAAACAAAGCATAGACTTTTGTGTACGATGCTCACATGAAAGATCTCATGATGCGTAAAGCCGTTGCTCGAGTTTGCTGTAAATCATAAACAAATATCGCTTCATGTCCTTCCATGCATCTCAACGTGATTCGTGAGTGCTGATACTCGGTTTGAAGGAAACAAAACTGTAAAGATGCTCTTTTCCTACATCTGGTCTTATACGTGTGCGTTTTGCTGGGGCATGATGGACCTCTCAGCCCGTGTTCGCATGAAGTTTGCATGAGATTCCAGGCATCGAGCTTTGAGTCGTGTCACTGGCCACACTGCAGCCTTATCAAGCATCAATGCAGTGATTCGGAGTAGCTTGGAAGCGTAGCCGTTGTGCCCACCCATGTCCAGGTTAGCTTCCTGGCCGTTCATGCCATTGACAAGCTCCATGTTCATCTTCATCTCTGCTGACGATAGCACTTCTTGGACTTTGCCCAGCAGCTTTACATCTTCTTCCTCCAGAAGCATGATGGCAGGAACCTCGGAGAGATTGACTTGATCCTGACCAAGAATTCCCAAGTAGCAGCCAACACGATCCTGCAACGTCGCAATCCACTCTGCAAGAACCTGGGCGCAGTCGAATGCACACATGGCAGACTGAAGAGGAAGTTCCCTACTTGTGAAGTCGGCAAAGGTCACACCGAGCTTATCCGACATGGCGAGGGAGTCGGCGGCATAGAAAGCTGCCTTCCGAAGATGCTTTTCCCTGCGAGATGTAGTGTGACTCGACATACTAGAGGATGCTGGCCGTAGAGGAAGCGTAGTATTGGAGAAATCCATCGATGACGTCTGTGTCGCAGGCGTTTCCACGAATCCTGAGCCATTGATTGAGTTATCCGAAGGTTCGGCACTGCCAGACTCAGAATTCGAGATCGGTGATTGCTCAGCATGCTGAACGATCTCATTTCCCCGAGAAAGCTCCTCAGCCATCCCGTCCCAATCCCTTTGCCAAAACCTCTCTTTTGAGCGTGAAAGGTTGACGAAAAGCCGAATATACGCCAAATCGAGCAGAGGGATCGCGTCAGCTGACAGAGGGCCTTGACCAAAAGGGTTGGGACGTTCTACACTGTGATGAGGGTTGCTTGCCCAGGCCGCCTGCCACGCCTTCAGGGCAGGCTCGATGTGCCGATGCATCTTCTCTGTCTCTTCATTTGTCCAGATTTTGTTGTGATGTCTTTGTCGTGTTTCCCAGATGTAGTTGTGCAGTGCGTTGATAAGTATCAGAGATCCGAATGTGCTGGGTCGAAGAGGTGCACTCATCGGGTCGCTTCCATCGGTGTCAAACTGTCCACCAAAAGAGAATTGATGCTGTTTCTCATTGACATGAAGGAGGTCACCCAATGCATCGTGAAATGTCATCCGGTTGTGGTTTGCAGCCTCGGCTCCACCGCGTGAGTGGAAGACTGCGCTCGTCTCAGCTGAGAATAACTCTTCATCGCAAGGGAGGTCCAGGTAAATTTCTGAATTTGTCAACGCAGGTGTGTGGTTGTAGGCGGAAACCAAGAGGCTGGAAAGTATAAACACAGCGTATAAAGTTCGCTTCCGCTCTTCTCCAGACTTCCACCGCAGCCACTCTGCTTGATCAGGCTCCAGATTCGTGTTCCAGTTTCGGTCATCACTCATCTGAACATCCTGACCGTCAGAGGCGTTGGGGCGATTGGGTCGCAAGAGGTCAGCTGCTTGTGCGAGGCTGACCAAGGCGGCGCAATGCGTCGAAGCGATGTCACTGGCGGTCTTGTCGCCACAGTTATGGCCATATACAACATTTAGAAGCATGGCTTGCACAAGCCACACGGGAGTGTGAGCGCCGCCGTCATTGTTATGGTCAGTTGGGGTACTTCGGCGGATATCTGCTTTTCGGACATCGGCTTTTCGACGTTCCTCAAGGTAAAAAAAGATCATTTTCTTGGCCATTTCAAACAGCTCTCGGGATTGGACAGTATCCATCTCGTAGAGCGCGCCAATAGCGGCCATGGACAATATCAGACAACCACTACCACCTACACCTGGACGACTATTGGCAGAGATGGGCATATCGAAGGACAAAGTAGGAAGATGAAGAAAAGGCAAATGGGGGTGGAAGTATGCTAGATAGGCACCGACATATCGCTGAAGGTCCTGAGTACTGGGCAGATTAGCTGCTTGGGACGAGACGGCATTGCCGGCAGACTGGGAAAGTGGCGACTGGGGTGATCCTTGAGAAGTAAAAGAATGTTTACGACCCCCAAAGGGTAGGCACTGGGACAGGATGTTCACGATGGCATGCCGGGTAGCATCTGTAATGGTGGTCACTGGCGAAGCGCCGTGGTTGCCCCCATTTAGAGAAGATGGCGTCTCCGGGCCGGCGTTGAAGCCAAGGGTCTGGTTAATGTTTTGGGTGCCGAGTCCCGTCACAACAGAGGGACTCAATGAGCTCAGCGAGGGTGGAGGCGTAGAGAAGTAAGGGTCATTCATCTTTTGAGTAGCTGGCTGAGGTGATAACGGTGCTCCGCTAAGGAGATCCGGAAAGACTGTGCCATTCATTTCCATCGCAAAAGGGTTCGTGGGCATCTGTGGAGGGGCCATCACAGATGTCGGCCACATGGTACTGGTCCCAGCCGGCGCGGGATGATTCGACCCATCCAACATAACATCGCTAATCCCACTCTGACTCGTCGTGCTGATTGCGGACGGACTCGATCCATCATCAATCACATTTTCGTTCGCAAATGACATCTGTTGCTCAAAACCAGTCAACCAGTCAACGGGGTCGTCGAACTGGGGGTTCGTAGACATGTCGTTCATCGAGTGCCCAAAGGGTGAGTTTTCCATATTCATCACCTGCGGTGAGTCGCTGTAATGGAGATTGTTTGGGTTTACTGTCGTGGCTGTCCCAAAGAGCATGGTGTCGAAATCGAACTCGTTGAAGGACATCGGGGCCGTCCTGAGAGGGTTAACATAGTCGAGATTACTAAAGGCTCCTGTTTCCAGCTTAGGGATGCCAGGATGCATAGCTCGTTGACCCATAGCAGCGGACATGCCACCATAGAGAGGATCCATGGTGTGGACTGGAAAGCCAGCGAGGCTGGGGTGTCTACTATGACCATGAACAGGCCCACGAGCCACGGAGGCATTGGCAGAGGCAGTGGCCATACTGAGAGCCATTGTGTCGATATGGCCAAGGGTGTTGGCTCGGGGTCGCATGGTGTTTGAGGCATTTGAAGCCGGAGCGGCAGCGGCAACTGCGTTGGCTCCAGCGACGCTGTTCTTTCGGGCACGGCTCTGACCAGGAGCGACACCGGTTGTGGACTCACGACGATTACGAGGACGGGAGGACGGGGTCGAAGTCTGGTGCAGCTTTTGCTGGTGACGCAGCAGAAGGTCACGGCGAGCAAAACATCTTGAGCACTCGGGACACTCAAAGGGTTTCTCCTTGGTGTGGGAGCGTTCGTGTCGCTTGAGATGTTCCAATCGGGCGAACGAACGCTGGCAAGTGCCGCAGACGTGAGGACGTGGCTTGTCCGTCTTTGCGGGAGGGAAATTATTAGCAGGCGCTTTTGTGTTGACTGTGATAGTAGATGCTACGAGTGTTAGCATGTATAAATCGAAGTTTTGTATCCAAGGTCTTGTTGCGGCAACGGTGCGGGTCGAGTCGAGCTCAGAAACACGAGGGGCAATGCCGGCGAAGGCGGGATAGCTCACCAGTATCGTCAGTGGTGGAGGGCGCGACGGTGCCAGCGGCGGCGGTGGTTGTCGGTGCGGGAGCGGTCATGGCGAGATTGGGGCGCGAGACTCTAATGCCAGAGTCGTTTATCACCATGGCAGGTCGGATCGTTCAGATTCGCATTCGCGAGGGTCGAAGGACGAAGATTTTGGACCTGTCGTGCTCGCAGAAGCAGAAAGTGTTTCGTCGCGGGGCACAAGGTTGGGCGAGAGTTGAGTGCGATAGGATGGATGGCGGGGAGGTTTCGGTGGGCGGCGGGCGCGGTTCGTCACTCTTTGGTGGGGGGAGGGGAGATAAGTAAGGTAGATAAATCTAGAGAGAGGGAGAGATGTTTAGATTGAATGAAATGAGCGTTCTATAAACGATGAGGGCATATTCTTCTGTTTGTATAGAGAGAAGAAAAAATGAAGCAATTCAGATCGTCGTTCAGAACATACAGGCGAAGCAGCAACCGCTTGAGGAAAGTGAAAGAGAAAGAGAGTTGGAGGCACTGGCGGCAAGTGCAGTGGAAGAAGGAAGGTTGGCGCCGAAAAAGGGCCCAGGCAAGGATACCTGAACCTGACGACGGATGGGCGACGCAGGACGCAGGAGCAGCCCAGAGCAGGAGCACGGTGTGCGTGATACTGTGCACGCTCTTGTTGAATCAGAATTGGCAAGGGACCTTGGACCTTTGGACCTTCCCTGTTCTTTGCTCCTGGGGGTGTGGCTCCAGTTGCGTTTGCGTTGCCGTTATGGAGCGCTAAGGTAGGCTAGACTAGGTTCCCTGGGGCGCATCAAGTTCCCGTCGTTCGCTCGGAGTAAAGAAGAGAGACGGGACAGCCAGATTTGCAGACTGTATCAAGAGTGAGAGAGATTTCGAGCAGTATAGATAGCAAAAGCAAATGGTATGGTGATCACGGAAAGTTGGCTCTAAATAAAGAGCTACTCCTACCAGCTCCTTCTTAATGTGAAATTCGGTTTTCATGACACGTCCACTTAACGCATCTCGGCTGAGGCTGTGAAGAAGCTCTTCTATCCACCTCATCATCCTCCTCTCAACTCATCCAATTGCTCAAATATTAAAACTCGGATTCGACGCCCGAAAGGCTGTCACCACTCGCCTCAACTGCGTCATCCTAGGACCTAGGTTCAAGCTGTATCGACCATCATCCAATGTGTTTCCTTGGGCCAGTTGAGGCTCATAGATGCTCCAATCGTGGATGGGTGGATACCTACGTGTACAAAGTTAGTCGTCCTTCTTTTACCCTTCGTGCGTCTGTCTCGTGATGGTGGGATGCTTTGATTTCACACCTTATACACCGTAGGCCTTGTTCATTAGGAAGCTTCCTCATTGACTTCATGACCGCCTTCTCAGACTCTATGCTTAAAACTCTGGTAACGAAAGGCACAGCAGCAACTCTATTCAGTGCAGATTTGTTACTTCACGCGGCAAATGTGCTGTGAGTCTGTACTTCCCGAGGCACGGCTAGATATGGATGACTGGGCAAGCCGGTCAATTGACTGACTGGTCTGGCTTACAAGGGGTACCAGATATTCCAGGATCTTTGTAGAGTTTACCACCTTCAAGTTTTACTCTTAAACTACTTTGCTGTCAAGAACTTTCTATCTAGAAGTTATAGCTCCTTCTGATGCAGAGCTCAGAAACTCTCAGATTGCAAAGCATGAATACCCGGATCGCGCTGCCCAGCGCCTTGCCACGGCATTTGGCGCTCTGCGCCAGTATCTACGTCTGCAAACTACAGTACAGTACAACGAGGTAGGTGATGGCTGCGCCAGGGCTGAAAGTTCAACTGACCGAGTATGTACTGTGCATCTCCGGGCTGTAGGAACTGCATACGCATATTGGAGTTTGGAATCGGGTGTACTCGAAATAGCTACTGGGGTGTGATGAATGACGATTGTATTGCAGCATCCCGAATGCAGAACAACCAACGCCTGCATGTAACGTTCGAATTCAATTCATGCGCTGAATTGAAAGGGACTCGGAGGGAGAGGAAGTACCCTTGAACGTTCTCCCGGGCTGTTTTTGAGGTCTAAGATACGAGTGGCCACGGCTTTTTAGATCCATCGGTAGCTCGCTTTGACACTGGAGCCGTCTCTACTAGCGTCATTGGCACGGCCTAACTTTGGTTCGAAACCTCCAAAAGATAATTAATATTTATCGAGGACCGTTTCCGGTTGATGCTTGCTTGTTTGTCTGTTTGTTATCTCTACCAACCTCGCTCTCTCCATAACTATTGTTCGTATCCTGGCGCTTAATCTTGCTGGAACATGACGATGAGCCAGGTCTAGAAACACCAGCGTAGGATTGGTCCAGCAGCTTCCTAGTCGCTCTCTGTTCTGCAGAGCTCCCAATTGGGGAATCTCATTGTGTCTACAAGCCACGCCCAGAGGCAACAACATCATTCAGATATGGAGCTTCTGCTGGTGTTATTATTATTATTATTATTCATTTCCCCTGATATGATGGCGAGATAAATGACGTTCAACTAATCGCCTGTTCCACTTCTATGATGTTAAGCGCCCGTTGTGTTGTTGAGATTCTGACTGATTATCTCTTAGTCTGCGGCTTTTGTTAACCCGAAACTCCAGTCGAGCAACTCACGTCTAGGGATGATGGCATGGCGTCTTTGAGAGGACGCCTTCCGCGACGCTTGTCAGAGATAGTCTGCTCTTACACACGATGGAATGATCTCTCAGAGGATGGCTCTGCTTATTCGACTCTTGGCTCCTTGGAGCCATAACGTGCTGGGCGAGTAAGGAGATAATGACCCAATCCTGCAGCGTGTCTCTCTATTTGATACGATTTCTTGTTTTACGTTTTATAATTCACGTCGGCAATAAGTCCGGAAGTGAATCACAACCTCCGCTAGGTTGATACGTTAGCAAGCATGAGCATCAAATTGGAAGTTATTCGGTTGTAATCAGTCGATCAATTGCCTCTATTCTCAAGCTCCCAGCTGATTGATTGTCCAAAATCGTACCGGGCGGGTCCACCCCAATCAAATCGCCTGTAGCTTTTAGCGTCGATAGGGTCCTGGGTCTCTCTTCACTGTAGGGTCTGGGTATCTGCTACTGTGCGAAGGAGAATATCGCTCACGGCTGGGCCAACGAGGGTGACTGTGAGTGAGACTGTTCTGTTGGCTTGACTTGACTTGAGATGATGCGTTCTCAGAACGAATTGAACAGCACAGTAAAGTATCCGCATCTCGAGGTCATGTGTTCTGCCACAACAAAATGTGCCGTTGTCAGAGCCAATTGTAAGCCCAACGTGCGTTTCACGTATGTAGCTCGAGGTGTGTCTGTGGCCAAGCCCTAGACTCTCTCTGCCTATCAGACAACAACAGCAAGACCCTCAATGATGATTGTCGCTTTTACGGAACTTTCTTTTTTTCCTCTGGTGGAAACCAAGCGCCATTTGGCATTTGACTGATCGGCCTGTTCAGCCTCATCAGTGTTCTTCATTCCATCCAGAACATTTGCCACTCTGGCCCTAGAACTTCTAGAGAATTGCCTTGTCTTGTCGTGTCCTGTACGACTGGTGGTTTGGTCGTACAGGGGAGCAATTACCACCGAGAAGACATTGTCGTGATCCACGAGCCCACTGTCTAGTCTGTTTCAAAAAGACCATGACCGCAATGCAATTCTCCCATCACAGCAGAGCGCCCTTGCATTGGACAATCCAAGTATTAGTAATATCTCGAGTTGTTCGAGACCTGATAAAGGCAGTCAGAGTCAGAATCAATCATCAAAAGGGCCGTGCGCGGACCCTCGACCCTTACTGTCTCTGGTAGATGCCTCGTTAGGGCATGGGGCCGCACGTAGTTGTGTCACACATGCAGTTCAAGGTCCAAGGTCTAAGGTCCGTGGATAAGGTATCTTTTCTCAGTGTTGGATATTACCAGCAAATCATCGAAAGGGATGCCACACTCAACTGTTGACCTGCCTGGCCCTGAGCGAGTTGAGTTGTTCTCTCCCACAAACTGCCGGGGATGGTCTCATCCGATGAGACGTCAAGAAAATGGGCCAGACCAGACCAGAACGAGATGCCTCGATGCTTGCTACGCCCCGATCCACCTGCACGCAAGCCAAAGGGACCAGGTCTTGGCTCTACATCAGACAAGCTCCAGCGAATCCAATCACTGCGTTTGTCCAGGGGTTTTGCTGTACTGTAGCTAGGGTCACAGCCAACCTTCCACCCAGCGCAGCTTGCAAGATCCATCCTATCCTGGGGGTGATGAGGCTACCTTACCAGACTCGACTGTATGTACCGTATCTGTGCTACGTACTGCCTGTTCAAGTGCTGAAGCGAGTAGCGGATACAGTGATAGATAGACTGGCGCTGCCGTCGACGGACCCTAGAGCGGTGCCAGGCTATCCGAATCTTGTCTCGCAGCCCGAAACGGCGAATAATTCTCGCTCACCGCCAGATAGGATTGACAGCTTGAGTTCGGTGAAATGATGAGCGTCCCATCCATCAAACGCCCGCCGCGGCAGAGAGACAAGCCATGCCCTGAGACGGGCTGCTAGCATCCATCGTTAGACGGGCTCTGGGTCTTTTCTGGCGCAGAGCACGAATGGGGTTTCAATTGCAGAGAGCCCTTGATCCCTGTCCAACACACCACGAGCCATGTCACTACTGCAGTCACAGGACCATCTTGCCACGCCGAACACAAGGAATGTGTGGCCTCCCATGCTCAACGGTATCGTTACCACACGGCTCTCAAGTCGCGCCAGATTCGAATGCTTCACTCCAATTGACCAGCTAGTTCACCGAGGATCCAGGAACACGACCATTTTGGACGCCTGCGAGTTTCTCTGCATTAGCCACGGACGTCGGGGGCATGTATGTTCGCGGTGATCTTCTAGATAAGCACCAACATCGCGGACCAGACACCTTCTCTACTTGTGTACAGTATGTGAGCACAGTAGCAAAAGGGAACGGTAAATCATGCAGTTCATAAATTCTCAGCCTCTTAATTCAACCAACTCTTGGTGGATATGTTCGTAATACAAGCATAGCTCTAAAACATCCAATTTCTTCTCTTCACATGCCAGTTTGGATTAGCACTTCGCAATCACGAGGTTATCAGCTTGGCGGCTTGCGCCATAAGCACTTGAGGTGTCAACGGTTAGCGGTTAGGTTGACTCTGAGGCTCTTCACATTGAGTGAGATGAGATTCTCAGATGAAACGTCAAGTCATCCACGCACTCCCAGAGCTTCTCCAACTCGCTATCTCTAGCCTGGTCTGCTTTGACTTGGCCTTTGCTCTGAGCACAGGCTCCCAGAGTGATCCTTGCCCCTGACCCAAGTCTACCCGCTGCACAGCCCCCCGAGATGTGCCAAGCATCACGGTGGGACTTGAGTGATCCTAAATCCCCAAGCTGCACGAATGCAGAATGCAGAATCCAGCATCAGATATGTGGTGCTGGTGCCTTGGACTCGAATCCACTGCTGAGTCTCCGTCCAAGGTCCCACATCTGCTGCTACAGAGCTTTTATTGACGATGCCACTGCTCTTCTTTAATGTCTCGAGAGTTTCTTGCCGTCGACGCGGCGTACTAGCATCTTGAAGTGGAATCGGGCTAATCGGAAGAAATGTCAATGCATTACAGATGCAGATATGGTCCACTATCGAGCCAAGAACGTACAGTACTTGGCAAATGAGGGCTGGCTGCTGCAAATTGTAACCCTCTGTAGCATGTGAACCAACAGGTTAAGAGCTATCGAGGATCTAGTATCAGCAACGCAGCATTGAACCAGTGAGGAATGATACCCCATTGCTGGACTTGGAGTATTTGGTCCCTACAGTTCACTCTCCCCAAAGGGTCTCCAATCCATGATGGTCGGGGACTTGTTCTTAATTGAAACAGGATTTAGAATCTGAATCAGCCCTAACGATTTGGAGAAGGGACCGGGCATGCTATGGTTCCCTTTCTTTTGTCGTCACCATACAGCATAAACGAGCCAGACACAGACAGACAAGGCCACACTGGACAGGCCTTGATCGAGGAATCCTACAACCCCAGAATCCTAACTCCAGAAAGAGGCATATCTCCATTCGATCCAAGGGTTGAGGAGGTCAGGTGCAGCCATGGCCCACAGCTAGAGGCTCCTGCAACCCATTCGGGATTGGGATTGGGTACTTGTCATTTCGAGGTCTCGAGTCCAAATGAGCGATGTCGGTCGTTTAAGGTACAAGACTGTACCAAATTGAATCACCATGACGCTACTTCAGAGTGCAAAATAGCCAAGAAATGCCGCTCTAGTGACGACTGAGCCGTGTTCTGACGCTTTGTGTCGGAATTGATATCATCTCTCTGAGAGACAAGAGACACTTTCATCATCTTGCTTCAGAGATCGAATCGAAAATTTGACAACGTAAAAGGTCTGCCACACCACGCGCTTATGCGTGTGAGACCAGCTTCTGGGATTGACCAACGAAGCCGCGGGCTACCCAATATTAGGCACGTTGACCAATTCTTCCACGTTTTTAACCCCCCTTGAACGCCCTGAGTCTTCGTCTAACTCAACCCCTGCACGCCACTTTGTTCAACTTTTTCCATACTCGCCAGTCGGACAATTGAGCCATTAGAACCAAGACATCGCCTATTGGGCCAAGTCATCTGAGATTTCAGCTCTGCAATTTCGCACAGTACTCGTTGGTGGTCTCTTCCCCCAGTCACCGTGCTCTCTAGTTACCCCAAATTCTGTTTAGCGGAGCCAAGCCCGGATCCCCCAGGCTCTCTCCGTTGAAGGGTTGGACGGATGGATCATGGAGAAGGAGAAGAATCTGGGGCCGGCCCCCGGACGTTGCGTTAGCTGGCAGGGTCCCTTGTAGTTGACGGCGCACACACCATCTTCCAGCATCCTATCCCTGACTTCCCCAGATTTAACTGTTTGCGGCGGCGTCAGGCATGACAAGAGCTGGAAATGAAATGAAATGAGATGAAGAACCCGAGATCAAATGGCTGATCTTGCAAGAAAGTGAAGCTAACAAGCAGCACCTCCCTCAGCGCTCGCCAACGCCCGCCTTGACGCGTCCTCGGATGCTGCGGTTCTCTCGAGGCTGTCACGTCCATTGCCTGTCCCTGGAACAACGACTAAGATTCGAGGCCACGAACCATAAGCTCTAGAGGTTACGCATGCAACCTCTTCATTGGCGACTAGACCTGAAGTCTCGGTGCTGCGAGGGTCCCGGTCGGATCACCAACTAATTGGAGTGCGTGCTACCTTGGCTCTCGTGCAAGCTAGCAGCCATTAATCAGAGCTGACGGATAATCCCATTTGCTTGTTATTGCCGTAATTGAGGCTCAGGAGGGCCCCGGAGCCACACAGAGCTAGCCTCGTAGCTAATCGAAAAGCAGAACGACTTGCGTTGTAAGAAGGCGCCTCGTTGGCGATCTGAGGATACCGGTGGATACCGATAGCCCCGTACTTGTCCGAAGAAAATAGGCGAAGCTTTGATGTTAGGATTCTGGAGATCCAGAAGCTGACTTGATTCTTCCTTGTGGCGAGGAATACTTCGACCTGGTTTAGAGAAGTTTACAGGCAGTTTCTACGCTAAACACTCAGACTAACGAGTGCCATGGGGTCGGTAAGCTAATAACATTTCAATGGTAATAGTGCCTGTTGAAGAGCAGAGCCAACAAGTCGCAAAGATTGTCGGATTGGATGGAGCGAGGCATAGTCTGATTCAGTTTAGCTGCACCATGGGAGTCCTCCCAAGTCATGGAATCGAAGCACCATCCAAGAACTTGTTTGGTAATGTACATCCGTCCGTACAAGGACCTCGGGAAGACGCAGGGGCTGGCACACACATGAGATATTTTGAGTTTGCCCACGAACGGCGGGCCTGTGGCGTTTTCCTGACCAGGAAGTTGAATGGCGATCCAATTCAAGTCTCTGTGAGTTATTTTTACAGACTTGATGACCCTGTAATTGAAGGGGTATCTTGCCTTTGCGCCACGACGAATACCTATCTGTGAGAGAAGTCAAGATCACTTTTGGATCTATCACGAATAGTTTAACCATAGTACGGCTCGTTTGTTAGCTCAGCACAGACAAATCAGCCAAGTCTGGGGCCAGGCCCGCTAGCGGAAAGGTTCCGTAGTGGTTAGAATCGGCGGTTGGAGGGTATCGTGGCCGAAGACCACCTCAACCATGTGGCCAAAGATGCAATCCAATGATACCTCAGCATCTGGAATTGCATGGTTAATCTTCGGCCCGGAAGACATCACATTCGACAATGCAACATAATGTTATGTTTCATCTGCCTACGTAATGTTACAGCCAGCAAGCAGTCAACTTGGCTTGCGCACCGGTATATCCCAGGGAGCGGCTATGCATTCCTCTCTCGTTGAACTGGTCCCACTGCTCGTTCTGCAGGTCATCATCACATCAACTGATTGTTGGCTGTTTGTTAAGTTCAGTGGCGATAGTGGCGCTCACGAAGTTGACTAGAAGAACAAGAAAAGCAGTTAAAAAACTTGGTTTCAGGCGTGCGAATGCCCAAACTTGGACAAAGCCCTTTGGCTCCAAGAGATCTACGGCCTACGTCGAGATGATCAGCAGGGTCCTGAGCAACTCTGGGCGAATCATGTCTTGTCAATAACTCTTTTTCTACTGTTTCCTTTGGGGTGGATATCGCTATGTCTTTTTGGGTGGTATAGTGGCATGACAGTTGAACAAACAATTACATTAGCGGGTTAGAAGAAACATCTCACAATTGCCGCAGAATCGGTCGGAGCTTTTTCGCTTTTTCGCCTTCTTTGCTAGTTTCTTGTTTTAGTTGCTTAATAATTTCTGTTAACGATGATCTGCGATGCGACTTGACGTACGAGATGATGTTTGGGGGTTCCAATGGGTTGTCTACGCACGGGAAGAAGACCGGCACTTTGTGTTTGTTTGCCTCTGAGAGGAGGCGTTTATGCTTAGACTGGAGCTCATGTTTCAATGAACTATTCTCAGCCATTCATGAACTCGTTGGTTGTTACACAGAGCCTCGTTGTAGAATTAATCGCTCAATCATGACCGGTCATCGGCCATACACGTTTGAGAACCGAACTCTATTCTTGCTACCGTTTCGATAGCCCACTTTCACGGTGGGATCTAGAACTCGACTGCGATGAGAAGGGACCACTAGAATCCGCACGAGTGCGTTATTAGTCGACGAGTACGCGCAGGAGTGGGACTGGACAAGACAGACGACAAGGCAACAGAATTAGAATGTGTACTCGGTACGGTAAGGTATAATGCGCATGCGATACGATACGATACGATACGATACTGTACAGTACAGTACGGTACGGTAGATTCAGCCGAACCTCTCTCGAACTAATCATCCGGTGAGTCACACTCTATTGCCTATGCCTATTATCGGATGGGAACCTTTCATGCCTTGGATCGGTTGCAGTGGTACTGTTAACCTCCAATGGAATCGGCTATGCATGTCAACGACCGCGGATTTTGAGTAGTAATAGCGTGGGGGTTAAGCAAGTACTGTGATCAATTGACAAGAGGTAAACATGACAGCAAATGTTGAGATGAGCAGGTCAGTCAATAATTGTTTGATTAAGCGCCAATTGCCGTCCTTCTCAAGCTATATCCAGTAGTTTACGCTGATAGTGGGGGGTCGAGAAACGGACACCCCTCCAGTTCGACACCGTCTCAAGTCAATCGAGTCTTGCATAACCTATGGCTGTTAAAGACTGACGGTTAAACCTCCACTAAAAGTTTCACATCGTTTACCTCTCTAATACAGCTACTGAATAGCTTCAGTCTATATCTCACTTATGGCCAGCAATTGCCCAGCCTTGTCCCTCGTCATCAATCAAGGTTAGGGTTAGCTGAGCCATGTGCTGTACAGCTATTGGCGGTAAAAGGCATACGTCATAGGCCTGTTCCAAGGCCAAGATGAAGGTAAATCAGGCTGAGAGGACAAAGAATAGAGTTAAATTTTCAATCATCCTTTTGTTTCTTTGTGATTAGACTTTTGGAACAACTCTTGTGATTCGTATCATTTGGCTTTTTGCCTCGTGTCTAAATAGCTTCAAGAAGGCGGGCTACTTGTTCTTGTGGCACCACTTACACGACCCATACCGTACCACCAATTCACATCTCACAACCATGAAGAACCTCTTATTTCCTCTTACCGCCCTCCTCATCGGCTCAAGTCTCGCTGCAGATGTCACAATCACAGCTCCGGTATCCATCCCCTCCAATGAGCCTGAATACAAAGAAGGCAAATCCTTCACATCAGCCGTCCTCAACAGCACCAACTTCTATCGTGAGGAACACAACGCAACAGCACTAAAATGGAACAAAACACTCGAGGAGTTCGCAACAGACTACCTCGATGACAATGATGACTGCGACTTTGAGCACTCTGGTGGACCCTATGGTGAGAACCTGGCTATAGGTTATCCCAATGTTACTGCGAGCGTCGAAGCTTGGGGTGATGAGCGAGAGGAGTACAATTTCGACAAGGCCAAGTTTAGTAAGAAGACGGGACACTTCACGCAGCTTGTATGGAAGGATACTACGACTGTTGGATGCGGAAGAAAGCTTTGCGGTGAACGAGGCTGGTTCCTCGTTTGTGAGTACTGGCCCAGGGGTAATGTCGAGGGCCAGTTCAAGGAAGAGGTTTCAAAAGAGGAGGGCGGTGCATTCAGTACAAGACCTGGTCTTGGGCTCGCTCTGGCTTTATTTATTGGGTACATGCTTGTTGTCGTATAGGCATGTCATGTTGAATTTCCAGCGTTGGATAGGCGTACGAGATATCTGATGGATGACGGGACTCATGCTGGGCATGAGCTATATTGACTACTCTACTACAATTCTCATGTATCTCATTATAGAGTGACATAGTTTCTGATTTTATATATACTAGCTCGTTCTATACACTTTTGGCTGACTAGTAGTGTCTTGTTCTATTCATGATGTTCTTTCCGTCATCAGTCCACAATGAAAATGTAACTTGATGGTGTACCAGAATCTATTACGATGCTTTGTTTCTCTCCAAGAGATATATTTTTGCTTGATATCGTGCTTACAGGTTCGAGGACCTGTTGTCATTCCCTGAAAGAAGCCCTACGACACGACCACATTGCCTCGAGCAGGCGGCTCGTTTACCACGGGTGGAAAATGGAGAGTCATACTGGGTTATTTCATTACTGACTTGCTTTTCTGTGGATTACATTTGTCGATGCTACTTTCTTACTGCTCCTTATAGTTACCAAGACGATTTGTGAAACAAGGTGATACTCGCGTTATCGAACGACGATGGGCAGATCGTTGTAGGTAAGGGTATCACAGCATTCTCGCCTCTTCTCTAAGCTCTTCTCTTATGATATCTAGAGGTTTTCGACTCCTGGTGATCTGCCTCGTCGGTTCTGGTAACCATCGTATCTGGTGGGAAGAGTCTCAACTTCAACTTTGATGGTAATCACATTCTCACAGAGCCTGACTTTTCTGCTCCACCTGTTGCTGAAAACTTCGGATTCGGATTCATTAAATGTGTAGATCGCAGAGCTTTACTAATACCACCGCTTTTGTGACTACACGCTGTCATGCCCAGTTATGTCCCCTCTCTCCCGTTCGTCTTGCCCTCGGAATCTCCTTTTTCTAGGTATAAAGGGTGATCAACTGTGTAGATGGTTTTCTAGGAATTGGAGGTTCAATATGACTGGCTGAACTTTTCCCCGGCAATCCTTTCTGAAGACATTGTTTCGTACATGACCAAAGGCTAGAACCTCCCATGGCCATACAGGGTTTATGTATGGAGCCATGTGATATGCTCCATGACAGGAGATAGATGGAGGTATAGGGGCGGCCCACGCAAGATATGCTTGGGTCGAGATATCGTACGGTGCCCTTGCTAACATTTCCTGACAAGTGCTGAACAAGACTGGCAGGCACCGTTCGGCTTTGATGAGTCGCAAAGGTTTTTGATCTTCGTCTTGGTGGTACTTGTTGAATCTTTGCCAAGATGTTGGGACACAGATGGTGATGATATCAGCGTGTATTTCGCGTGGGAGTCGAAAGAAGAGAGATTGCTTCTGTTCATCTCTGGGGTTTGCAAAGTGGAAGTTCATGACTGGCTATTTGATACCATATACCTAGTGAGTGGCTAAAACAATACAGGGGATTTGAAAGAATGACAGAGATGGTGAAGAGACTTTTGGTATCGAATGTGTTGTTGTTGGTTTGTAGGTTGAGATGGGGCCAGCAGAGACCGGGATACTTACTCGTCGACACTATCGCTCTTTCTCCCCTCCTGCTCAAATTGCATGCATTGCAATTTTCAAGAGGCGCAAGATGGACACCGTATATTTTGGCAGGTATTATAGACCAAAACAGTCCGTCATTGCCTAACCTAAGTTACCGAGTTCTTACTGTAACGGGCTTGCCTCTCCTGCTCCATCCATGGATGGAAGGTATTTATATCAAGGGTTAAGTGAGCAGCTGGCAACCGTTTCGTCTTCCCAATGGCCATGAAAAAGATAAGAAGATTATTTCGGTTGTTTCTTGGGAAATAAATACTTGAATGGCTTGTCCTTTACTTAAGATATAACTCTCTGCGTACATTGGGATCTAATTTGAGTTTTTTTACCTGGCAATCATGTTCATCACATGCAGAACCGGATGTGCTAATATTTAAGAGCAACATCAGTTAATTAAATACCCAGTATCCTCTTACAGTCTTTCCCTACTCCTTAGGTCATCGTGAAAGTGTTTGTGATTTCACTCAGAGGCAGTACAAAGGGAGCTCGAATGGGGAAACAAATACAATTTTGGCCAACAAAACACAAACTAGAAATTTTGAGAAATTTTGGTTTTAATACTTTTCAACACATACAGGACAATAGTGATCTGCAGAGAATAAACGATCCCATTACACCCTGTAGACTTGTGGCATGGTCAGTAGGTAGTTACTCTCATTCAGGCTGTGAATCTCCCAGTATGTTGACCTACCCGGGAGTATTGGTATCCCGGATAAACATTGCCCCACCTCCGCCGAGATTTTGGGTTGGTGTTTAGAGCTTCCACTTCGATCTTGCGATAGCAGAATCGCGGTGATCAAACAATCGAACCTTTCTACCTCCCATTCCAACCTCGATCCTAGGCGCAAGAGCACCCTGAATCAGTTTCTCGATACTTTGCGCTCCTCCTCACAAAATGACTGGTCGTGGTGGTGGCGGTGGTCGCCGTCTTATGCTGCCTCCCATGTAAGCCTCGAGCTCCCCTCTGCTACGCGATCGCATGGTTTCTGGATTTTTGGAGCATTGTGCTAATCGTTATATAGCAAGTATATCTTCGAGCTTCTTCGAGAAGTAAGTCTTGTCTCTACGTGCGCTACCGATCGCTTTTACGCTTGACCGCTGGGTGGACCTCGAAAACACAAATTGCACCGATTCTGCGCCCAACGATGTCGAGATTACAAAAGCCGAACACCTGAATGTTTCTCACGTGGTGGCTGTTGCTTTATTGTTTCTTGGGACTGCTGTGGTTGAATCGGGTTGGCTGTCGGGCGCGACAGTCTCGAACCCTCGTGATCAGACTGGAGACAACAATAGCACCCCATTTCCCCACCAGGATCCGAGGATCGGGATAATTTTGTGTTTCGAGGTCCGCGACGGCGGGCTGAAAGAACTCGGAAAGACCTTTGGACTTTGCTAACAATCGCAGCACGCCACAGTCAGCATCTGGCTGTACGAACAGCTCTCCATCCGTATTGAGGGCAAGATCAGAGTCAGTACATGTGGAATCGTGCTGAAGAATGACTACTGACTATTGATAGGGATTCGACGAGTTCATGAACCTAGTCATCGATGAAGCTGTGGAGGTCAAGCAGGTCACCAAGACTAACGAGAAGGAGACCAGGAGACCTCTTGGTACGTCCCTTAAACCTGCCAATTTTGAAGCCAACTAATACCTCCCAGGTCAAATTATGTTGAAGGGAGACAACGTCTCATTAATCCAAAACGTCTCGAAATGAACAACCTTGTAGCGGAACCTGGACTTGGAGTCGGTGGAAACAAGAGCGAATACCCAAACCCGCCTGGCCCAATTGATGGCCAACGAGGCACTTTCTAGTCATGGCACTCAGTATCTCATGAGTATGTCGCTGCAAATGGGTTGAATGGCGCGGAGAAAGAAGACTTGGCCTGACCATAGAATTGCGTGTCTTGCAAAAAAGACACTTGTGGACCAATAAACATTGTACGCGTTTCATCTTTTTGTCGTGATAAACCTGGTGTCTTGTAAGGTACTCCGACCTCTTGAATGATGCCAAGGATATGCAGGATTCCTGGATGGAGGGGTTATGGATATCATCTGGTGAACGATGCTAACTGCGCACAAGTTGACTCCCCCTTATCAACAGCACTTCTTATTTTCTCTTAGATATGGAAGCCTGACCGACTTGGCCATGATACAGCATCGACATGTCTACATTCAAAAGGATCCAACAGGGCTCCAACTTGGATCTATGCGACCTGATGAGACCGCATGTTTTGACAAAACTATGCTGCTTCGAGGGATTGTTGATTGAGACTGTTCATTGGAGCCTGACGAATTCCTCGCAGTTTCATCACTCAGCCATAACAAGAGCTCTTAACTCATATGTGTGTCGATTATTCCAGTGACCTGACAACTGCGAATGGTAGCTGCTTATCCATCGCAACACTTCATAGATCATGTATGCCTACATCACCAGCCCTGTCACATTACGATCCCCCACTGACAATTTCCAAACTCGTCCTTCCCTTGCCCCCCACGGTACGAAGAAGGTGTTGGTTGTAGCCTCTCCTCTTTGACACTCTCACCTCATGCATACATGGGCTAGTTATCACACTGTTGGTTCCAAACGAAGATGATGGTGTTAGAGAGTCATGCAACAGTCCTACGGTATCAGCCGTCATCCTTGTTTGGGGAGGGGTAATCTGCGCAGCTTCAGCTTCCCCGCCATTGTCGCATGATGCGAAACCAATAGGATATCGACTCTGGTGTAAGTGTCAGTTGCGGCTGCATAACAGTTTCGTAAAGTGTGACCAACAGCAAAGAGCGAGGCTTAGGAGCTGGCACACTACATGTCAAAGGTTGTGGCCTTGGACCCCAATGGAAGGATTCTGGGCGTTTTCAGTTGATGGATGTTCAATCGTAATCTGCCTGACCTGGGCCGCCTTTGTTTCATTAAATTATACCTAGAAGAACAAGTCCACCAGATTCATGCAGTTAATTGTGGTCTTTGCTTGCTATCAAGACCTACTACACAGCAATGTACCTTTCAAGCCAGCCCAGTACAGCGTCTCACTAATTAATGTCATCAAAGCTACACTGGTGAGGTTATGACTCGGTGCAAAACACACCGCACGCCGATCAAGAAGGATGGTACCGCTGTTTATTGGACCAGCCATTCAGTTGCATTGACCTCAAACTTTGGCAGAGGATGGTAGTCTAGAAGAAGCCGAAGCTCCTCCTCATGATCAGATGAGGCTTGTCTAGACCATGTTCTATACCTCAGTAAGCGCCCTTCCCCTCATATCGACTACCAGATCTTGGCCAGGGGAGTCTGGACCCTGGATATCGGGTTTATGTGAAACGGTCTCTCGGACATCTTCGCGGGGTCCGCGACAAGCGATCTTTATTACCGTGTGATGCCATGTTCATGTGAGATTAAATTACTTCTCATAAATCAAGAGAAATCTCATTAAGCCCATTTGATTAGGGTATTTTTAGAGCCATAGAAGAGCTTATTGAAGATGATTGACGTCTGTGGAATTCCTTAACAATATGCACCCCGGATTTTCTTCCCCGCATCTACAGTGGGGAGTGGAGCCCAACTTGGGAAGCCTCACTCTGAAAGCAATATTGCATAGATATTGGGTTATGCGGCACATTGCTATTCATGACTTATTCTTGGACTAAAGCAAGCGTCATCAGATAGTCTTTGTATCGTGTTAAAATGTGCGGTTGTTGCCGTGAGTCAGCCTAACACCCGTAACTCAGCATGGTTGGGGTATAAGATCGAGTTAAGATAATGAAGGCGCGGTGAACTTGGAAACCGACTACCTGGAGACAACGTCTTGGAGGCTGATGTTCGATCTCTGCGTGGACTAGCTAATGTAGTCGCCTCGATTAAGTGTATGCTAGTCTCATGATCGTCTGAACTTGGCTTGAGTTGGGCTGACCCTAGGCTTGCAATCGTGCAAACATTTACGCAAGCATCTAACTTGGCATTGCTCGATCAAGCTTGCCACAAACTGTGGGTGGATATCGCCAGTCTTATGCATGCATAGGTCTGCGAAGGGCATGCTGAATGGCTGATAGTGCTCTCTGCTCGTGGCTCACATGGATGAAAGTGAAGCTGACTTGCCATACCTCTTGTACATGAGGTACATGAGGCATAGCAAAGCCCGAGGCCCTATCCTTCGCCTGATATACTACAGTAGGAAGTGTTGAGTTAGTGTCATATATTTCACTCCTTGTGTCGTTAGTTTTCAAGACCTCTGGCATTGAAGTTGAAGTTGGTGAGGCTCTACAGGCCCATCTGTAACAGTGGATCGCCGCGCTAACTTAACCACTAAAGCGGAAATTCGCGGCTGAAGCACCACAACTTGAACAAAGTCCAGCACTGTCGTCTACGATCTGTAATAACCTAGAGCCTGGGCTACACGATAGGCGAGCGGGCGTGGAGACTCTGGCAACCTTGAAAGAGGAGTCGGGGAACCGGTGTGTGGAGCGTAGCACTCTGGACTTTTTGTTTGGGAGCTTAGGGGGGTTATGGATGCACAATGTTGCAAAGAAGTGTTTTAGCGATGGAAAGCAAGGAGGAGAGTTCCATTTTACGCTGGGATCGAAGAAAAAGTTGATCCCTGTTTGGTTGGGGCTTATCGAATGTTTAGGTCATACCAGGGGTTGCCAAGAGACTTGAGCGATTGGCTGTTGAGACGCACGCGACATGCAACGCGAATCCCCTTGCGGATGGTTATGGACAGGGAATCTAGAGGTTGGTTGTTGCTTTTTGTAGTTTTGCTTTTTCTCTGTGACAACCTGGTAAAATATCTTTAACTCTGTCGTTGGTCCGGGGTAGAGAACAAAGGATC